TGCTGCTGAGCTGCATGTACACCTGAATTCACGCGGCTGGAGAGCTGCTGCTGCCACGAGGCATCAGTCGAGCTGCCGCATCAGCAGCGGCAGCTGCTGTTGCTGCTGTTGCTGCTGCTGCTGCTGCTGTTGCTGCTGCTGCTGCTGCCGAGAGAATGATGACACCTCTTCCTTGCAGCGGAGAGGCTCGGGCCTAGAGGCGCCTTCTTATGGCGCCTCTGCTGCTGCTGCCATAGCGGAGTCTCTGAGAGCAGCGGGAGCAGCTAGTGCAGCAGCAGCAAAGACAGCAGCAGCAGCAAGGAGAGCAGTAGCAGCAGCTGCAGCTTCCCAGCCGCTTAAACTGCAGCAGCGACTGCCCACTCTGAGCTATTTAGAAGCAGATGCGCGCCGCTGCTTCTATAAACAAGTGACACGCCAACGCGCAATGAATTCAAGCAGCAGCAGCAGCAGCAGCAGCATGAAGAGCGGCAGAGGCCAGGGGCACAGAAAGCTGCCGGGTGTATAGACAGCTCGCAGTGTCTAAGTTTCCGCCAGTTGTAAAGCCACTTTTATCCTCAAAGAATCTTTTTAAAGACAAGTACTTTTCGGATTTTGGCTGTACTTGTGCATGCGCTCGCTGCGGCGCTCCCTAGGACAGCCCCGTCGGCAGCTGCGAAGGACTTTATTGCATTTATTTGAATTATTTGCAAAAATTAATTAAAATGAATCCAAAAAAGTCTAAATTTGCGCGTTGGAAACGGTAGATGGGGTGGGTGAACACCCCTGGGTTGTACAGACACCTGGAGCTCGCGCGTCGCTTGTTTCGCAAGACTGGACTTTTCCGAACTCTTCCACAATTCGTTTATTTACAAACTTAGTTCTTTTTATTTTTTATTCATTTTATTCACAAAAACGGCCAACTCTTTGCTGCTGAAAGCCGCCACTTCTTCTGTACCAAGGGAATGCTCCCGCTGGCACAGAGCACGAGAAACGGGGGGTTTCGGGTTTAGGGTTTAGGGTTTAGGGTTTGTTGAATGGCGATCATTTGCAAATCAAATTCAAAACTTGAATGTTCTATTCAAAGTTGAAGTCCTAAACCCTCATAACCACCAAATGAACTTTTGCAACTTCTTAGATTTCCAGCCTCTAAAAGTGATCTTCTTTTCCCTGAACTGCCACCTACCAAACCACAAACCCTAAACCCTAAACCCTAAACCATAGGCTGCTAGTTCTGCGGGTCTTTTGCAGCCAATTTAGCTTTGAAAAATCCACAAAAAGCCTAAATAAAGGAGCTAGGGTTTAGAATTAGGGTTTAGCGATTTAAGGGCCCCTAAACCCTTTCTTGGCGACTCTGACCTTCGGGCTAAACCCTCAGTTGGGGCCCCAAAAGCCATTTGCTTTTACTAATAAGTTGCTGCTGCTGCTTCTGCTGCAGCAGCAGCAGCTGCTGCTGCTGCTGCTGTAGAGGCAGGCTGCTGCTGCTGCAACAGAATGCCAAATTCCATTTTTCGAATTTTTTGATATTAACAAAAAATAAAAAAAAGAAAATCTAGAGCTGCTGCTGCTGGCGAGTTCTTGCAGAGCAGCAAAAAGGTGAGTGAGAAAATACAATAATCTGCTGAGTTTTTTCTTTTTTCATTTTAATTTAAAAGATTTATTTACATTTAATTTTGGAGAATCGTTTTGGTAATTGGAGACTCGTTTGAATTGCTTTTGGTGACGCTCTTTGGCGCTCTTCATTTGCCCGGTGCGCTCTTCTTGCTGCTGCTGTTGCTGCTGCTGCTGCTGCTGCTGCAGCACTTTTGCAGCTGCAGCAAATGAAAAGTGAAGGAAAACTGCAGCAGCAGAGGGACAGGAAAGGGAAAGGAAAGGCAAGGATGAGGGCCAGTTAAAACTCAATCAAAAAAGTGGTATAAATAAATAAACAAATCAATCAATCAACAAACAAATAAATAAACAAACACGTAGATAAAATAAATAAATAAATGAATAAATAAAGCAATTAGTTTATGCATCCCGTACGGCAGCAAAAAGGGAAAAGAGAAAAGAAAGGCGCATGCACTCAAAGAATAGAATTAAAAGAAGTGCAGCAGCAGCAAAAGCCGCAAATAATTCGAAGAAGAAAAAAAAATAAAAATAAAAAAGAAATTAATTGCCTTCCGGAGCATACACCAGGCTGAGGTGTACGTTCACCTACTGGGGCCAAAGCTGCTGCCGGAGAAAAATATGCTTTTCAGTTTTTGTTCTAATTTATTTCATTTTTCAATTTTTGCTGCTGCTTTAAACTCACGCATGCACAGTGGGAAGCAGCAGTTGCTGCTGCTGCTGCGCAGCAAGCAGCAGCAGCAGCAGCAGCAAGTCAGCAACACAACATCACAGCAGCGCAGCAGCACAGAAGCACAGCAGCACAGCAGCACAGCAGCAGCAGCAAAGCAGCAGCAGCGCAGCAGCACAGCAGCAGCAGCAAAACAGCAAACGGAAGAGTAAAAAAGGGCCAAATGGCCGTATGAGAAGCTGCTGGGAGGGCCAGAAGTCTATTAAGTAAACAAATCCTGAAAATAAAGAATTTGCGACTGAGTCCTCAAAAGTTTTCAGAAACTTGAAATTTGACTAAGTCCTAAAAGGGGCAAAAGGGCCACAGCCCACCCTCAATACTGCTGCAGCCTCCAGAGCCACCCTGCTGCGTATATATATATATATATAAATATACATATATATATAATATATATATGTATATATATTATATATATATGTATAAGAGATATATAAATATATCTATATGCATATATATGTACATATGTATATATATACATATAGGTGCGTGTATATATATATACATATACATATATATATTTATATACGTACATACATATATATACATATAGATACATCTATATATACATATGCATATTCATACATATATATATACACATATACATACACATATACAAGTACACATATACAAGTACACATACATTTACATACATTTACATACACACATATATATATGTAATATATATATATGTACATATATGTATGTACACACATCCCTATGTATAATTCTACCTCTAAGTATATGTGTATACACAGATATGTGGGTATATGAGCTGGTCTTTGCGTTTATTTTACACACATTTGGTGCTTTTAGAGATTCGAAATAAGACCAGTTGGCTGCCCCGTGGCGCTGCAGACGCTGAGTGTTAATTAGACGAAAAGAGAAAAGCAGACTTGATTATTTTGACTCAAAAAAAGACTTTGAATAAATTAAAAAGAGCCTTTGGCGAGTTTTCTGTAGATGACGCTTTGAGGCGCTGCGGTGTCTGTACACCTGAGGCAGCCACCGCCTCCGGCGCGCCAGCCTAGCGGGTTTGGGCGCTCAAATTGAAGCGTTTTTTGTCTATTTCATTTTTAATTTATGTTTTTATTGATTTAAAATGGAAATAAATTTGTTTTCGCGGCGCTACAAGCAGCAGCAGCAGCTTGCGGCTGCGTCCTTGTGTGTCCCAGAGAGAGTCCAGCTTGGGCGCTGCGGAGGCGGCACGCGGGTGTATGGACATGAAATCAAAAGCCCAACACAATAAAAGAAATTCTAAATGGTCATTTTTGTTTTTTTTCCGTTTTTAAACAGCGAGTTCTTGAGCGGAAGAGGCCGATGCACAGACCAGCGGCGCGGAGGCCTGACCGGACCAGCGCCCGCGGCGTTCGCACGCGTTTCGCGTTTTGCTGCCTTTATTTGTTCTTTTTACGGAAATATTCTTTAAAAATGCAAAAGCATTTATCTTTATCAACTCCTTCTTGGCTTTTGGGGCTCGAGCGGCTGCAGAGGCGCTGAGACAGCAGCAGCAGCAGCAGCAGCATAGCCACTGAACAGCCACTGCGGCCGAGACCCTCTCTCTTCTCCCGCAGGACGGTGTACGTACACCTGGGCCTCCCACTTGGCTTTATTTTGGCTTTTTTTGGCCTTTTGTTTCATTTTAAATGCAAAGAGGAGACAAAGGGGCCCCGAGACACAATCACTGCAGCAGCTGCAGCAGAAGAGACAAGAACCAGCGAGCGGCAGGGGAGGGCCCGCAGCAGCAGCAGCGCAGCAAGCAGCAGAAGCAGCAGACAGCCCCTACACGGCCTCTTCCTCGGCTCAGGGCCTAGGGTTTAGGGTTTAGGGTTTAGGGTTTAGGGTTTGGCGCAGAAGATGCCCCCTTGAGCTAACTCAAGAGACACTCCGTGGCACCAATGGCTCTCCCTTTTGCGCTGCGGCCCCAGCGGTCAGCAACAGCAGCAGCAGCAGCAGCAGCTCTTTCCCTTCTCTTTTGCTGCTTTCTTTCCGCCCTGCAGCAGCCAGCTGCAGCAGTCACGGTGAGCCCCCGCCCAGCTGCTGCTCGGACCCATCTTTGCTGCGCTGCTGCTGCTGCTGCTGCTGCTGCCTTCTTGCTGCCAGGCTGCTGCTCCGGAGCTCCCCTGCTTCTACTCTGCTGCAGCTGGCGCGCAGCGCCAGCAGCAGCGGCTGCAGACGTGCGGCAGCAGCAACAGCAGCAGCAGCACGTCAGCACCCGCTGCTGCTGACGCGCTGCTGCAGCAGCAAGCAGCCCTTGCTGCTGCAGCAGCTAGTGTGAAATGCTGTTTTCTGTGCATCTCTTTGGCAGTTCTTTTTGTCATTTCCCCTTTTGCGTCTCCGACTTCTGCTGCTGCTTCTCGTTTGCTGTGTCTCCTGCTGCCCCTATTTGCTGCTGCCTGCTCCCTCAGAGGGGCCTCCGGGGCCCTTCTACTGCTGCTGCTGCTGCTGCTGCTGCTACTTCTACTGCTGCTGCTGCTGCTGCTGCTGCTACTGCTGCTGCTGCTACTGCTGCTGCTGCTGCTGCTGCTGCTGTCTTTGCCCATCAGTCTGATTCAAAAGTCTTTTTATTCTTTTGCTTTTCTCTCAGCCAATTGCCCCTCCGCAGCTTTCAGTACCCTGGGGCCCCGGGGCCCCCGGGGGCCCCGGGGGCCCCCGGGGCCCTGGGGGCCCCCCAGGTGGCGGGGGAACTGTTTTGCGGCTGTCTCCCGCTGCTGCTTTTGAAGAAGCAGCAGAAGCAGCAGAAGCAGCAGAAGCAGCAAGCCTCTGGCCCGGAGGCGCTGCGGTGCAGCAGCAGCTGCGCGAGCAGCAGGGGCTGCAGCAGCAGCAGCAGCAGCAGCGCAGCCGCGGGGTGCACCGACACCTCTGGGCGGAGCAGCAGGCCCCAGGTGTACGTACACCTGCTGCAGACACCCCACAAATCGCAGAGGAGCCCAGAAGCCTCGGAAGTGGCATTTCTTCTTATTTGGAAAAGTCCGTAACTTCAACAAATACTCCAAGTGCTTTTACAATTGCTGATCCTTTTGCTTCTTGGCTGCCTGCTGCTGCTGCTGAAAAGGCAGCAGCAAAGGGGCCCCAAGAAGGGGGCCCCCACACGGAGGCTGCTGCTGCTCCGCAGCCGCCAGAGCAGCAGCAGCAGCCTGCTGCTGCTCCTGCTGCTGCTGCCCCTGCTGCTGCTGCTGCGCCAGAAGCGCCTGCTGCTGCTGCTGCTCCAGAAGAAGGCCCCAAGCCGGAAGCTGCTGCTGCGCAGCCAGAGGCCTCCGAGAAGCAGCAGAAAGCGAAGGAGACAGCTGCTGCAGCTGCTGCTGCAGCAGCTGCTGCACAAGAGGCTCTTGCTGTAGCAAAGGCGGAAACTGAGCGACACGCCGAGGAAGAAGCCGCGAGGCTGCAGCAGGAGCAAGAGCAGCAGCAGCAGCAGCGGCAGCAGCAGCAGCAGCAGGACTCCGAGGCCAGCAGAGCTGGAAGGCGGAAAGAAGCTGCCAGGGGAGAAAAGAGTCTTGAAAAAGCTCTTGCTCAAAAGTTTGAAAAGTTGAAATTGACAGAACAAGAAACAAAAGAGTTTGTAGACACTAAAGGTGAAATGAAAACAAAAAAGTCTTTTGATTCATTTAATTTTAATCATGCTTCAAACGTTTGCTGCCACAGACTCCTTTGGTTCCCTAAAGCGGCTAAAACACTCCAGACACCTCAGCTATTGTGCTGCTGCTGCTGCTGCTGCTGCTGCTGCCGCTGCTGCTGCTGCTGCTGCTGCTGCTGCTACTGCTTGGTAAAGCTTTCTACCTCTTAAATCCCAGTTCTTTTCTACTTCAAAATGTTTCGTCTATTTGCTTTTTATTCTAATTCTTTTTTATTTTATAAGTCCCTTTGCGTGGCTTTTGCTGCTGACTTTTGTCTCTGTCGAATTTCGCAGTTTTATTCTTTATTATTTTATTTTTTATTTCTTCTTCTCTTTTCTTACGTTTTCCTTTTTTGTGGCCTTTTGGTTTTATTGGCTGGAGCCGCGCGTCGTGTGGTCCACTGGGAGACCACTGGTCCTCTAATTATTTCCATTTTGTTTTTTAAATTTGAAAAACTATTTTAATTTCCTGTTTACTTTTTCCATTTTATCTTTTTCATCTTTTAATTTTGGAATTTTTTCCCATTGTTTCCACTCTGTCTTTTTAAATTTTTAATTTCAAATTTATTTATTATTTCCATTTTGTCTTTATAATATTTTAATTTTAAAATTTACTCTTTGTTTTTTCCATTTTGTTTTTTTAATTTTTTAATTTTAAATGTATTTATTATAATTATTATTACTAATTATATTGTTATTATTATTATTAATATTGTTGTTATTATTATTATCCATTTTGTCTTTTTAATTTTTTAATTTTAATCTATTTTTCAGAAGTTGCGAAAAATGTGCGGCGGCTCGTTGGCCTCAAGGCAGGCTCGAACTTGCATTTGGAAAACCAAAAGTTAATAAAGCCGGTGAGTCATTTTGGGAGAAAAAAGAAAATAAATAAAATAAAAGAAAAGCATTTTAAATCAAATGAAATGCCACTTTTAAGACAATTCAAATGCATGCAGTCCCTAGAGAAAGACTGAAAGAAAACTTGCAATTAAAAGACTTAAAAGAAAGCATAAGTTGATTGGCTGAGACGCTGCAGCAGCGGGCTGCAGCAGCAGCAAATCACGAAAAAGAAGAAAGAATCTGCTGCTGCAGCGGCAGCAGCACTGTTGCTAGTGCAGCCTCTTTGGGACTTGCCCTTTGCTGCAGCAGCAGCAAAGCCCGTCTGCGAGCGCATGCATAACGCATGCATCTGCTGCAGCAAGGGCATCGCATGCGCATGCAAGCGCACGCACACAAGCGCATGCAAAAAAGCGCATGCAAGCGCATGCATACAAGCGCATGCAAGGCAGCGCATGCAAGCGCATGCAAGCGCATGCATGCAAGCGCATGCAAGCGCACGGGTGTTGGCGTTCAGGGCTGCGACATAGCGACGTTCGGGCCCGCGTACTGCGCAGCAGAAGACAACCCGCGGGCGGCAGACATCCTGTGGAGTTTGGAAAGCCGCAAGAATAACTGCTACTTGGTGATTGCTGCATGCATGCTGCTGTTTGGGGCTTTGGTGCAGCTGTGCTGCAGCGCGCTGGAGCGCAAAGTGCTGCGCGGCGACGCCTTTTCCAAAGAAGTCCTCGAGACGGCTTTTCGCCAAATCGCCTTCATCGCCATTGTCGACGTGCTGCTTTGGGGCTGCATGCAGTCCAACGTCGCAGCCATTCTCGACGAACTTGTCTTCGGAGACGTGAGCAGCAGCAGCAGCAGCAGCAGCAGCAGCAGCGGCGCGGCAGGGCTGCGGCGCCGCTGCAAAGGCGGGGCAGCTCTGGCCCTGCTGCTGCTGCTGTAGCGCTGAGAGCAGTTTTGCTGCGCTGCGAGGCACAGCGGGCAGGCACTGGGGGAGCCTGAACCGCAGCAGCAGCAGCAGCAGCAGCAGCAGCAGCAAGTGTGTTTCTGGCTGCTGTCGTGTTTTGCTTCTTTCAGGTAATGCCGCGGCAGCGAGACGCAGACATTGTTTTAGAAAATGTCTCGCCAATGCTGGAAGTGCTTTTTGAGGATCTTTTCTTCGTGGCCATTTTGCTGCTGATCTGGTTAGTGCAGCAGCAAACAGCAGCAGCCACCAACGGCGCTGCAGCAGCCCAACAGCTCTGCAGCAGGCCAGACGGCCCTCTGCAACTCCTCCCTGCTGCGCTGTGTCCAACTCAGCCCTGCTGCTGCTGCTGCTGCTGCTTCCTGTGCTGCTGCTGTTGCTACTGCTGCTGCTGCTGCTTGCTGCTGCTGCTGCTGCTGCTGCTGCTTGCTGCTGCTGCTGCTGCTGCTGGGGTTTGGTTTGCTGCAGACCTTGCTGCTGCCGGCGTTGCGTGCTGCTGCCTTTAGGTACGTGGCGTTTGTGGTGCTGGTGCAGTGCCTGGTGCGGCAGCTAGCAGCATGGATGCGCAAAGTCGACGAAGAAGAAGATGTGACGGAAATTGCAAGAAAAGCAGAAGTTGCAGAAAACTCTTGCTTCGGCCGCTGCCTCCACTCCGACGACATAGCCAAGGCTGCCTTCGTCGCCCACAGGCAAGCCAGCAGCAGCAGCAGCAGCAGCACAGCAGCAGCAGCAGCAGCACAGCAGCAGCAGCGCAGCAGTAGCAGCAGCAGCGGCAGCACAGCAGCAGCAGCAGCAGCAACAGCACAGCAGTAGCAGCAGCACAGCAGCAGCAGCAGCAGCAGCAGCACAGCAGTAGCGCAGCATGCGGGTCTTTTGTGCTGCAGATACGAATTTGCTGACAATGTGGAAGCAATGAGCATTCCGGGAATAGATCCCTCGGGATATTACTTCATGGAGTACCTGCGGGCTTGTTTGCTGCGGATGGCAATAGAAATGCTGCGGCTGCCGATCAGCACTTTGCTGCTGCTGCTGCTGGCAGCAGCGGGGCTGCGCCCCTTCCTCAGCTGCAGGCTACATGCAGAAGCAGCAGTGCTGTCGCTGTGCTCGCTGCTGTGTCTGCTGGCCATGCTGGCCACTTGGGCTTTTGCTGCTGCAGTTGAGCAGCAGCTAAGGCCCTCCAAAGTCCCCCACTATTTAGTAATGCGCTACCACATGGAGTTGGGAGGCGAAGCCAAAGAGGCCTACCTCCAGGAGTTCACGCCCCCCTACAAGCTGCAGCCGCAGCAGGTCAGGCGCCGCTGCAGCAGCAGCAGCAGCAGCAGCAGCAGCAGCGGCAGCAGTAGCAGCGACAGCAGCAGCGGCAGCGGCGGCGGCGGAGTAGTGATGCAGTAGAAGCAGCAGATGTTCTTTAGCACTCCATAGCGACCCCTTCTGTTGCACTCCCTAGTCCCTTGCTGCACCTCTTCCTGCATCTCCTGCTGCTGCTGCTGCTGCTGCTGCTGCTGCGGCTTCAGAGTGCCTGGCCGGGAGTTTGTTCGCGCTACTTCTACGGAACCACTTTGCCGAATAAACACCAGCAGCTGTTTTGCTTCTGGGCCAATGGACCCACCATTGTGATGCGGGCTTTGGAGGTGAGTTTTTACATTTGCTGCTGCTAATTTAAAAGAAAGCAAATTAAATAAAACAAATTAATTCCAACCCACTTTTGCTGCAGGAGCCCAGAGAGATTGAGAAAGCGCGAAGATCATCCCGCTCTTTGTGCGCTTGTGCTGCTTGCCCCGGGCCTCCCCGCTGCTGCTGCTGCTGCTGCTGCTGCTGCTGCTGCTGCTGCTGCTGCTGCTGCAGGCCTCGTACTTCTGCCAGCTGCTGGTGCTGGCGTGGTGGGTGCAGCTGCTGCGCTCCCACCCAGCCACTTGGCTGCGCATCTCCTGGTGGGGAAGTGCTGCTGTGGGGTTTTTCGCTTTGCTGCACTTCGGGCTGCTGAAGAAAGTGCTGTACTCCACGCTGCTGGCGCTGCACTCGGGCATGCTTGTGGACCACGTGCTGCTGGAAAAGGTGCGCAGCAGCAGCAGCAGCAGCAGCAGGAAGTGCACGCGCAGTCGCTACACAAGTTGCTGCAGCAGCAGTCGTGCTGCTGCTACTGCAGCGAGCGCTGTTGCAAATGGGGGGGGGCAGGCAGCGCTGCTGCAGCAACAGCAGCAAGCGCAGAGAAACTTGCTCCACGAGTTCCTGCAGCAGCAGCTGGTGCTGCTGCTGCTGCAGCGCATGCTGTTGCTGCTGCAGCACGTGCTGCTGCTGCAAGCTGCTGCTGCGGCATCCCCCGCACGCGGGGTGACGCTGCAGCTAGTTGCCGCAGCGCTGCTGCAGAGAGGCCGCAGCGCAGCAGCAGCTCAGAAGCAGCTTCTGCAGCAGCAGCACGCGCGCCTGCTGCCCCCCCTTTTTGGTTCATTTTAGCAGCATTTTGGGTCTTTTTGGGAGCTTTTTGGGTCTTTTTGGGAGCATTTTTTTGCTGCTAGCAGCATTTATTTTCCTTTTTCTTTTTATTTGTTCTTTCGGGATCTTTTGGGATCTTTTTGCTTCACTTTGGTCCCGAAATTTGCGCTTTTGGACTCAGGTTTGGGAAATTCAAAGGGCCGAAAACGTGCGACGCACAGCCGAACTCGTAGACCGCCTGCGAGTGCAGTCAACACTTTTTGCAATAAGTGAAGGCGGAGACATCTTTTGGAAACAAATGCAAATCAAGTCCGACGCACTCTTGCTGCTGCTGCTGCTGCTGCTGTTGCTGTTGCTGCTGGTGCCGCTGGTGCTGCTGGTGCTGCTGTTGCTGGTGCTGCTGTTGCTGGTGCTGCTGCTGTTGCTGCTATTGCTGGTGCTGCTGGTGCTGCTGCTGTTGCTCGTGTTGCTGCTGTTGCTGCTGTTGCTGCTGCTGGTGCTGCTAGTGTTGCTGCTGGTTGGCTGCGAGCCGAAGGAAGCCAAAAGTGCAAAAAGGGTTTTTTTGCATCATTTTGTTGTCTGCAAAGAGCTTTTTTTTCCTTGTAATGACCTCTCTGCTTTCTGCTTCTTTTATAGCTCGAAAAGTGTTTACTTTTTTCTCTTTTTGTTTTTTTTTCTCTTTTTGCTGCCAAACTTGCAGAGTTTTGGCGGTTTCGCGGGCCGTGAAGGACCAAATGGTGGCCATGTGGGCTTCGCTGGACGAAGAGCACTTGGGCCAAATCGACAGATCCAAACTTTTCAAATTCCTCAAGTCCCAAGGCCTCGCAGTGCAGACGGAAGCAGACGTCAACGTGAGTTTGCATGCAGCAGCAGCGCATGCAGCAGCAGCGCATGCAGCAGCAGCGCATGCAGCAGCAGTGCATGCAGCAGTGCATGCAGCAGGGATGCGTGCAGCAGCAAAGCATGCAGCAGTGCATGCAGCAGGGATGCATGCAGCAGTGCACGTGTATTAGTGCATGCAGCAGCAAAGCACAGGCAGAAGGACGCATGCAGCAGTGCATGCTGCAGTGCATGCGCTGCTGCTTGCAGCCGTGCATGCATCACGTGCAGCAGTGCATGCAGAAGTGCAGGTGCAGCAGTGCATGCAGCAGCTGCAGCAGCAACGATCGGCGCATGCAGCAGCTGCATGCGCCTGCAGCAGGCTTTTGCTGCATGCATGTCTTGTGGCTTTGTGTGTGACTTCGACTAATGCTTTGAATGTATTTTTCTGTTTTTTATCTTTTTCTTTTTCTTTCTTCTTTTTTGAATTTGTTTTTTGTACCTTTTATCTTTTCTTTTCCATTTGAATTTGTTTTTCCCCAGCTTCCCCCTTCACCCCTCTTCTTTCTTCTCTATTTTTCCTTTTTTTGAATTGTTTTTTCCAACTTTTACTTTCTTTTTTATTTTCTTTTTAGGACTTTCTGCAAGTCTTCGACAGAACCAACAAAGGCGGAGTTGACGAAGAAGAGTTTTTCGTTTTGGCGTTGGTGGTCAAACAGCTTCTCGTCGAGCCCTTAGACAAAGACGCCTTGAGAGTCCGTTCTTTCTTTTACAACAACCCATACCGATAAGAGCAGCAGCAGCAGCAGAAGCTGCTGCTGCTGCTGCAGCAGCGGCGGCAGCAGCGGCGGCTGCAGCAGCGGCTGCTGCTGTATCAGCAGCGGCAGCAACAGCGGCTGCAGCAGCGGTAGAGGATGCAGAAGCGGCTGCTGTGCCTTTGGCCGGTCCCGCCAGAGACACAGGAGCTGCAGCTGCGGCTGCGGCTGCTGCTGCAGCTGCTGCTGCAGCTGCTGCTGCAGCTGCTGCTGCAGCTGCTGCTGCTGTGTCACTGTGGGGCCACTGAGCGCTTTGAAAATAGAAAAAGGAAAATGCTGGGTTTGATTCTGTGGGGCCTGTGGCCTAGAGCTCTGGGAAATGCTGCGCTGCTGCTGCTGCTGCTGCTGCTGCTGCTGCAGGCTCTCTTTGAAGACAAGTATGGAATACCCTGGACAGCTCCCACGGGCATTGACGTCAACAGCCTCGCCAGGATCCTCGCAGATGTGAGCCTCAGCTGCACATGCATGCACGCGTGCATGCTTGCATGCATGCATGCATGCATGCATGCATGCATGCATGCTTGCATGCATCCGAGCCTGAGTAAAGCCCGCAGCAAGCATGCGTGCTCGCATGCATGCATGCGGGCCAGAAGCAAGCCTCCAGCTGCCTATACATGCATGTGTGCATGCATGCATGTCTGCGTGCATGCAAGCATGCATGCATGCATGCGAGCCTGAAAGCGTGCAACTTCGCATGCACACATATACACATGCATACACACGCGCATGCATGCATGTGTGCACGCATGCACGCCGACCTCCCTGCATGTGTGCATGCACACACGCATGCATGCGTGCATGCATGCACGGACGCATGCATGCATGCATGCATGCACGGACGCATGCATGCATGCACTTGCTGCGGGGCTTTTTGCGTGCAGATTCGAGTGCACTGGTCCGAGGGCAAGCGGCGGTACTTGCTGGACTTCGTGGGGGGCAAAAGAGGCACTGCTGGAGTTGCTGCAGAATTGTTTGTCTCGCAGCTGCAGGCCATGGAGGAGCAAACTCTGCAGCCTTTCCAGCAAGTAATCCCGCCTTTCTGCTGCTGCTCTTCGCTTTTCAAACTGCTGCTGCTGCTGCTGCTGCTGCTGCTGTTACTGCCGCTGCTGCTGTTACTGCTGATGCTGCTGCTGATGCTGCTGGTGCTGTTGCTGCTGCTGCTACTGCTGCTGCTGTTGCTGCTGCGGCTGCTGCTGCTGCTATAATTGCTGCTGATGCTGCTGCTGCTGCTGCTGCTGCCGGTGTGCGTCGCAGGCCGCTGGAGAGATGCAAAGAAGGGCTCAGGGAGAAGGCGCAGATCGAGTTTAAAAGAAACTCTTTTTAATTTTTAAGCAGCAAAACTTCTGCAAAGTTGCTGCCCCACAAACCGCCCCAGTGTCGACCCACAGGCAGCAGCAGCAGCAGCAGCAGCAGCAGCGGCTTTGCGTGTCTCGCTACTGGTGCGGGATCGATTTAAAAGTTTAGATTTTATTTGTCAAGTTTCTCTACGTCGAAGTTGTAGTGTACGTACACCCGAGCGCCCCCGCAGCAGCTGGCGAAGCGAAACTGAAGTGCCAGAATTAGAAAAGATAAAAAAGTGGAAATTCTTTTTTTCAATTTCTAATTTAATTTCCAATTCCGAAAACAAAATCCAAAAGACTTCAAACGGGAGACAAAAGACACAAATTTGGAAAATACAGAAGCAAAACGAGCCCAGCAGCAGCAGCACTCGCAAAGTGAACTTCAAAAATGCTGCTGAGAGAAAACAAATGACATTTTATTTAATTTTATTTAATTTTATTCAAATAAAATTATTTGGACAAACCCGCAGACCACAGTGGCCCAAGAGCTGGGGTGTACGTACACCTGCTTGGTCTGCTTCTCAGAAAAAAATCTGCAGCTCTAGAGGCCAAAATAGCAGCAGCAGCAGCGGCGGCAGCAGCAGCAGCAGCGCTACACAAGTAACTGCTGGTGAGCAGCGGACTGCTGCTGTTGCTGCTGCACCTCAGGGGGCCCCCAGCTATCTCAGTTAGACCCAAGGGGGCCCCCAACTACCACAATTAAACCTGGGGGGCTCTCATGCCCCTGCCTGCCTCTGTAGCAGAAGCAGTAGCAGCAGCAATAGCAGCAGTAGGAGCAGTAGCAGCAGCAGCAGCAGCAGCCGCCTGGGGTGTCGTGAGGCTTTAGTATGGAGGTTGAAATCGAGAGTATTTTTGTTGGTTTATTGAGAAGTTTGGAGGTAAAAAATCTATATACACTCCAGTAAACACTAGTGTGCATGCAAAAATACATTTAAAATCCATTTTTACAATTCAATAAACTTCTTTTTTCTTTTTTGTCCCCAGTGGTCACGCGGGCTTGAGTTGCTGCCACGCTGCATCCGTTGGAGGTGTCTGTACACCCCACGAAGGCTAAGCAGTTCGTGTTGAAATTCACCTTTTAAATAAAATAAATAAATAAAAATATTAAATAAATAAATAAATAAGTAAATAAACAAAAAGCCTTTGTGTTGTCTCGGCTGCTGCTGCTTACTGGGGCCCCTTGCAGCTTCGGGAGCCCCAGCCCCGCCGCTGGACCTTCGGCTGCATTTTTTGCGCCTTTTGTCTTTAAAAGATTAAAAACTTCAAATATTTAATTCTTAAAAATAAAAGAATTC